AAAATAAATAATTTAAAATAATTTAAAATAAAATAAAATAAAATAAAATAAAATAAAATAAAAATCCACACTGGATTCTGAAGACGTCATACAAAAAGAAAAAAGAATATGACAGAGCTCAGGAGTTTTTATATTGATTATATGTTGAGATGATAATATTTTAGATGTGTTAGGTTAAATAAAATATTATTGCAATTCATTTTGCCGGATTCTTTTTACTTTTTTAATCTGGCTGTGAAAAATTCTAAATTACCTAGGTGACTCGTGTCTCTACTGGACTGGCAGAGGTGGGGAGTGGGGAATCTGGAACTGAGGAGGGGACATGAGGATTTCATACAGGGTGGGTAAGGAAGGCCTCTCTAAAGAGGTAATAACTGAGCACAGACCTAAAGGAGAGAGTGGGAAAGGCATGAGGCAATCTGAGGGATTGTTCTGGGTTGAGCAAGTGCAAAGGCCCTGAGGCAGGGATGACGTTGGTGTGTGGTTGGAGAGTGACAGGGCTGAAGACAGAGCACCAAAGGCCTGGACGAGGCCTGGCGTCCTGGCTGTACACTTCTCCTGCCTCTCAGCAGGAGTAGCCATCCTTGCACATGCCTTCCTCCAGAAAGGCAGGGACAAGGGTGGCCCTGTTCTGAGCCCCCAGGTCTAGCCCGCAGAAGGTACTCCTCACTTCAGCCTCACCTGTGGCCAGTCTAGAAATCCAGCGGTCATCTGCCCCGTCTGGTTACAGTCATCATCGATGGCCTGAGTGGAGAAAGAGAGAAGACTGTATGACAGTGGGTCTTTTCACGCACCGTTTGGGCCTTTGTCTAGATGGGGATCAGCAAACATTTTCTCAATATCATGCGGTCTCAGTCACAGCGATGCAACTCGGCCACGGTGGTACACAAGCAGCCATAGATAGAAATGTGCCTGTATAAAGCAACAAGCGTGGTGGTTGTTTATAAAGCTTTATAAAATCAGCGGTGACCACGGGCCATAGTTTGCTGACTCCTGGCCTAGAATGATCCTATCCCTTCACTTGGGCCTGGTGAGAGGCAGTCACCTGTCCAGGGGCACACAAGGACATCTGGCATCCCCAGTGCCAAATCTTTGCCCCCTGTATAATTCACAGAAGCCTCCCTTGAGCCAGGACCTGGGCCAGCTGCACTGGGGAACTGAGTGAGTAGGAACTATCCCCTGACCCTAGTGATTGGTTCAGGGATTGGTACTTGACTCAAGCTGGACCAATGAAGAGTCAGCTCTGGAAGTGTTCCTGAAGCTCTTGGGAAAGAGGCTCTTTTGTTTCTGCTGAGGTTGCTGGGCTCCTGAGATATGGGCCTGGAGGTGCAGAAGGTAAAAACAAGACAGAGGAGCGGAGCCTAGAGCTGACATGTGAACCTGGATCAAGCCATGCCTGAAGCTTGAATTATATGAGCTAACAGGTTCACTTTTTGGCTTCTGCCAGTTTGATTCTGACCCTGCCACCTATAATAAAGACTGTCCTGACCAGTTTATCCTGCATCTTCCCAGTTGGAGGCCCTGGTCCCAGAAACTGTCCCTGACAACCAGGACAGGCAGGACATGAGTCTGAGACCCACCAGAGAATGGAGGGGGCATCAAGAGGCCATGATGCCAGCACCAGTGTCCTGGGGCGCTGGTGAGAGACCTGGGTCCCCAGAGCCCTGAGCCTACCCAGACCGTGCCTTTTTGGCCTGTTCTCTGGTTAGGCCCCCTGCCTCAGCTTACTGACTTGTACTGATTCCTTTGCTGTTTGTCATCTCTCGTTTTCCACTGTCTGACTTGGGCAGGACACCCCACAACCTATATAGACTCATCAGCCTCCGCCTCTCCCCAGGGACCGATCCAGCCTGCTGGGATCCCTGTCTTTTCCCACCAGGGCCCTGGCTCTACCTCTGAGTCTCCTGTGCGATCCCAGTGCCCTGTCTGATCTCTCAGTCTCTCACATTCTTTCTCAGCCTTCGTCCCTAAGCCCCCCCCCCAGATCTCTCCCCTCCCACTACTGTCTTCTGGGTCTCTTCTGAAGATCCTCTGCCCCTCCCTGGGTGAGGCCACAATGTCTATCTCAAATGGGAGGGTGTGGGCAGGCTACCCAAAGGAAGGCTGTCGTTTGCCTGGCCTCCAGAGGGAACAGCTGAGCCAGACTCACACCCACCTCAGGTGGTAGGTAGCGTTCTAGCTCAATGTTAGCCCCCAAGCTCCTCCCCAAGCCCCTGGCCTCCAGTCTCTCCCCTTCCAGCCTATTCCTCACAGCCTCAGTTCTCCCACAACTTTCCTCTCTGTCCCTCCCAGCCAGACCCCAGCACCACCTTCACCTCCTCTCCGCCTCCCCTCACTCCCTGCAGCTCAAGCGCTGCCCCTCCAGCCACAGGTCTCTCTGCTCTGTCCCATCAAGCCTCTCTTTCCCCCACCCAGACCATCGCCACAGCCCCCAGGGCTCCCACTTTACCCC